GCTGGTAAATGTAGCAAATAAAGCTGACAACCACTCTTGGCAGATATTTCAAGGTCAGTAGGGCTGGGATTCCAAAGAAGGAGACCTTCAGTCAGCAGAGAGGGGAGCTTTGAGAGACCAGGTATAGGCACAGGGCTTTGAAGTGCCCTCAAGGTGGCTGCCCACTGGTCCCCAGGCCAACCAGGAGAATGGGGATATTTTTGAAGTGATGAGAGGGGTCAAAGAAGAGGAGAAGGAAGCACTATTGCCTTGCCCAGTCCCAGATGCCATGATGGGGTGTCAGGATAGACAAGCTGCCTAGTTAGAAGGTTTGCACCAGTCTCACCAGCTAGCCCTTCAACAGCAGGAACCACCCTGAGAGTGGAGCCCTGAAAGTGAATGGCTTTGAAGAGAAGTCCCTAGTTTGGGTTCAGCAATCATTATTAACAAGCACAGGAGCTTATCTTCCAGCTCACAAGAGGGCTTTTAGAGTTACCTTGTCTTAAAGCTGTGAAATGCTAATACACATCTGTGCCACTTTGTCTGGTGTTTTAGACTTAAGGACAAGAAGGGGAGGGCCCTAGTAAAGATCCACCAAGAGGTGGTGACATTATTTATCTATTATATCCCACCTTTTTTTTTTTACTTTTAAAGAACTCAGAGTGGCATACATCATTTTTATTACATTTTGTATGCAACATCATGCTAGTCTGGGGCTTGGGAAGCCCATAATTTCTCATCATTGGCCAGGCTGGACAGGGCTCATGGCAGTTTGAGTCCAGCAATATCTGGAAAGCTACAGATCTTTGAATCCTGCAGCAGTCAGTACTTGAAGTTATAGATAAGCAAACAAAATGGCTGACATAGATGAGAATGGGCACTTTTGGCTATTACCTCCATGTACTTATTCAATAGCAGCTGTATGCAAGAGGATGAGCAAAATATGCATTTGCTCCCATGGAACCGAAAATACATTGATAGCCAATAAATCTCAAACCTAAGGAGCATCCAGGCTGCTTCCTAGCCAGTATCACTTCTAAGTTGTTTGGATTCAAGTTGTAAATCCTCATGGTTCTTTAAGTTGTACCCTTCAGTCAAACATATGAGAAAAATGTGAAACAAGCTACATGGAGGTACATATAGGGATGGACCAGGGCAAGCTTTCAGAACCATGGTACAAAACCAACAGCTCCTTTCTCTGGAAAGGCATGACAGAATACAGTGGTGTATCCTTTCAACAATTTGTCTAGTCAGAAATAATGACTGGGATCCAGTTAAGGCAAATGTGACATTTTACTTTTAAGAATGCGGCCAGCAAGTATGGTTCACTAGTTCTGTCATGCATGCTGTGCAGCTTTGCATATGAACTAAAGTTAGTTCATCTGCTGGCATTTGGTGTTTGATTAATTCAAGCTTAGCTGATATTGCTATGTAATGTGGAACAAATTATGTAGGCAGTAGCGATTGCAGCAGCTATCTCATTCCATATGATTTGTACATTTTTATCTCACATATAAGAAATGTATTGCTGCATGACATTAATCTTCTCTTACACCAATATTGTGGAAGTTTTTCTGCTCTCTGTGGCACATTCATATGAAGTTGTTTATGTACTTTTCAGATATCAAGGGAATATTTGAAATGTCAAACACTTACATGTTTAGACAGAAGAAACCCCATTACTCTCAGCAGGAATTATTTCAAATAAGCGTGCTTACGATGCCTTCTTTATTGTCCAGTTATGCACAAAGCATCTTTACCAATGCAATGTTTTAGGGCACACCACAAAAGTTGCACAAGGAAGCACTGAGACAGGGCAAAGGTATTCAGTTCTGGCTACCACAGTTCAAGAAACATAGGGATAAGTGGGAGAGCATCCAGAAGACAGTTATAAGGATGATAAAAGATCTACAAGACAAACTTATGAGATGAGGAATGGCTTTAAAAACTTAGGCATGATTAAGCTATGAAATAAACATTTTATGTTGGATTTATATCACATTAATTGCACTTTATTCCACTGAAATCAGTGTGACTTACGACCCACTGATTTCAGTGGGACCTAAGTGTGACTAACTTGTTCTGGATCCAACTTCTCAAAGCCTGTAGTGCTATGGAGCTTGCTGTCATTTTAAATATTTATACTTACGATTATTGTGCCATGTGCCTAACATGCCTAATGAATATTGAAGCCCTGAACAGAGATTAATTGATTGAAGGCGTCCATGCCTGTAGGCTCACAGTTTAACAGGCAAAATACAAAAGGAAAGTAGGGATTTCCAGTCAAGTCAAGGCAAAGCCATGATGCTTGTTTACTTCTGAGAGGAGAAAGGTACCCACCCACTCCCATTCTCAGCAAAATCATCTTGCTTTTAAGTATCCCCTCATAGGTCCCTGTGCTTTTCAACATTTCCACCAAATACCAAGCCTCTAGACCAGTGATGGCAAACCTATTGCACGCGTGCCACAGCTGGCACACAGAGCCTTCTCTGTCAGCACATGAACCAAGTCGCCTCAGCATCACCCCAGCAGCCAAGCATCGGATAACAGCATACATAGGGGCCATGTGCCTTCTCAGAAATGACTGGTAGTGCCAGGCAATGACATCACAAGCTGCAACTCATTAGCCATGACTCATCCAAGCTTTCACATGGCCGGTCATTGCACTGCCAAGGATATATAGATATAGATATATATATTTACTTGGACTGGCTGTGAGTTGTTTTTTCTAAACTAATCCTCAGTTTTCAGGTTTTATTGCAGTGTTGGCACTTTGCAAAAAATGAGTGAGTTTTGGGTTGCAGTTTGGCACTCAGTTCACCATCACTGGATTAGGGTTACAAAAATGAGGTGTCCTGGCATGATTTTGATGGTTTGGATGTGTTTACAATGGGTGGAAATGTTGAGCTGTGCAGAAAAAACTACTCAAGGAAGGCTTTTTCAAAATCACCCTCTTTTCAATGCAACTTTAGCCCTATATTAGAGCCCTCTATTATGCAGAGCCCTCTCTGTCAGCATGTTAGCCAAGTCACCCCAGCATCGCCCCAGAAGTTGAGCATCAGATAACAGCGCACATAGGGGCCATGCGCATGCTTGGAAAGGAGTAGTGGAGCCAGGCGATGATGTCATGAGTCATGACTCATTATCTGCGACTTGCCCAAACTTTTGCATGGCTAGTCAGTGCGCTGCCAAGGATAGGTAGATAGATATGCTTGGACTGGCCATGAGGTGTTTTTTCTAAACTAAGAGCTCAGTTTTCAGGTTTTATTGTAGTATTGGCACTTTGCAATAAATAAGTGGGTTTTGGGTTGCAGTTTGGGGACTTGGTATCTAAAAGGTTCGCCATCACTCCTCTAGATGCTCAGGAAAAGTAGATCTCCCCCATTTTCCAGTAATGCTTACATCTGATAGCTGTTGAAGGTGGTGGTTTCAGGGCTAAACAGGGCACTTTTGACAAGAAACTCTGCATCTCCAGTGTACCCTTCCCTGTCCAACGACCCAGCCTCACAGTAAACAGTTTAAAAATAACCACAAATGCCTGTTTAAAAAAAGGAGTGGTGAACTAGTCACACTCAATGCAATATACCACTTGGACACTTCATGGGGGTTGTCATCAGCCACTTTGAAGACCGCAAAAGATAATCCCTGAATAGTGTGATGGGGTGGAAGTGGGGAGAAAGCTGCAGGAAGCACAAAAGGCGGGAAAAGTTCAGCTGCAAAAATCCCTGGGAAACCTCTGGATGACTGGAAGAAGAGGAGGGGGAGAAACACCCACCATGGGCCCAGTCACCTGTTGACCTTTGGCCAGCGTGGCAAATCAGTGGACTGTGCAAACTTGCCCCCACGGTTTAAAACTGCTGAGCATGAGCAAATGTCTGTGTGTACAATTTCCTTCTAACACAACTTCCTGCTATCATGCATTTGGTTCACCTTCATTACTTTAAACAGTTAATTTTCCTACATTATCACTGTCCATTTTCCTTTCATAATTCACTGGCGCCTTCTGTCAGATTCCATTCACCCTTCCATTTGGTGAGGCATAATTGCAGAGACTTCTGTGTGAGTTGTTTGGCAGAATATCACGTGGGTTTCATAGGCTGGGTCCCTATTCAGAAGCAACCATTGACTGTTTACGTGAAATCCAGCTTATCCAGATTTAAGTTTAAATGTTAATCTTCATATTAGAGAAATAACACCAACCTTTAGCTTATAATTTCATCATGGTTTTAAATTCTGATATTACAGAAATCAAACAAAATTTCTGTCATAGTTGCTCTGAATATTGCCTGCCTAAACATTGAATTTGAATGCCTCAACAGCATGTTTATGATTTTGAAATGCCTATGTACCTACATTTATTTGTTTACTACTAAACTATGGACAATGTTGGGAATGTATAGAATATCACAACGTGGTTATATTTGATGAGGGCAATCACTGCCCTTGGCTAGTGTTCGGCAATGACCTTGACCTGCATCTTAGTCACTGTCAAGGAAAGACAGCAGCCAGTGGAGAAATGCTGCTCATTATATCTGACTATTTTGAATCACAAGCACTTGTTTTCCTAAGCTCTGGATGAGACACATCCCAGCCAGCGCCTGCTGACCTGAAGCTCGCTTTCCTCTCCAGGTCATAATGCAAGGTGGGTTAAGAGGGCAGTTATAAAGCTACAAATTAATACTTCCCTCAAAACAAGAAGCACACTTAAGAAGCCCCTGGGACAAAGCAGGCTTTCTTTATGTTCATTCTATGAAAATGCAGTTGTTTATGCATCTCCATCTCCTACTGGTTTCTGCTGATAATTCATATTTGCATTGCCTATGTTTTCTGTTTTGTGAAGGGGAAAAATACAAAATTGTGTGAAATGTGGAGTACTTTTGCATAGGAGATGCAAATAGCTTTTGGGCATACTGCTCAAAATGCAGGTTCTGTCTTTGCTTGTTTTTCAAAAAATATTCCAACTAACAGTATGCAACTTTGTTTTGTGCCTGTCGTGTGTGTGTTTTCTTTTCTCTTCACAGTGCCACATTGGGCCTTAATAGCCATAGCCATAGTTGCAATCCTATTAGTCCTTACCTGCTGTTTCTGTCTGTGTAAGAAATGCTTGTTCAAAAAGAAAAACAAGAAGAAGGGCAAGGAAAAGGGAGGAAAGAATGCGATAAACATGAAAGATGTAAAAGATTTAGGCAAGAACTTGAAAGATCAGGTAAAGTATATATCTTGTTCTTGGGTGAACTGAATGGTCTGGTAACAATTCTTTTGACAAAGTATTCTCATAATTTTCATAAAGATGTAGTTCCCATGATTCTTTAGAAGAAAAGCATCGCATGGTTAAAACTATGTATATATTTTTGGATTATATGTATATGCATATTTCCAACTCTTACAGTTTTGTCAGATGCATATCACGAGTCTGTATGTGCACCTGTCAAAATGCTATCATTGTAAAGCAGCCTTCAAACCATAGAACGTGTTTCAGGCACAATGTTGTATCCTGGAACCTTCGTCCCTCCCTCCAAATATTGACTGGGAGTGACATTTTCTCATCAATGATGAACTTTAGTATATCCCATACAAATGGAATTATGGAGCAGGGCTTAGTGATCAACCAGCTTGGTTTCCTCTCCTCTGTCCAAAGAACTGATCTTGCTGGATAGGAATCCAAATGGTAATACCTCTCTTCTGTCAGATCAAATACATACAGGATCTGATAAGAAGTAAACACTATGAGCCATGGCATTTCTCTGATATAGATATATATGCTCAATTGATAACACTGTTGTATATGCCCAGCTTCCTATAATTAAGGCTTTGTAAGTCACTGATAAGTTCTACTGACGCTGGCCTCTGAACTATCTTTCTATATGAGAAAGGAACCGCTATTCACCGAGGAGGTTGCGGGGGGTGGGGGGTGAAAATCACAGCATTCCTCTCCAAAATGTGTACAGGTTGTCCTCTTTATATTTCGGCTATGAATGAAGACCCTAGGCTAATGAAAACTCATATTTTGAACTGGGACTGCTATATCCACTTGTACTCTTCTGAGAGAGATTTCTGGCAGTGGGAAAGCAAAAAATAGGGAAACAGAAATTAAAGAAAGGAGATTCATGATGAATTGAACACAGCATGTGTGAGAAAAGAAAAAAAAAAGATTAAAGGTGACAACCCAGTTTCTCCTAAGAGCTCACTTTGAACAGTTGCAGTTGGCTGGTGCACTGCTCGTAATCTGTTTCAGTAGGGCTGAAATTCTTTGATTTAGACAATACCCTGCAGGCACACTGATGTATCTGGCCAATAAATGAGGATTACAGCTCTTTTTTCACTATACTAATGTGGCCAGAAGTCAGAGACCAAATTTATTGTGCTTTTCAAGTCTTTTTGGTTCTAATTGCTATGCAGGATTATTGTTCACTGATTGTTCACCTGAACAGTTTAGTAGTTTATCACCCAAACATGTGGTAAAAGTGACCATAGGTTGCAGGTGAATATGCTGAGAAATAAGATGGGGAAAAGGACTGCCTGAGCTGTCTGAAGGTAAGACTAAGGGAGAAAATATTTACCTTAGACTAGCCCAGGACATTTCACTCTCTGAGGCAGAATAGTAAATGGCAACCCCCCACCTCCCCGCATCCCCGCTCCAAATCAAGGTACTACTCAAGTTGCTTTGCCACTGCAGGCAAGAAAAAATACCTCTTCCTGGCATTGAAAATAAATGACTAACAATTTGTGTCCCTTTCATGCGCTCAAAATCAGCTGTCTTTCTGCTTAATGGAAATGCTGGCCCTGATTACCTTTTTATTTCAAAGGACAGAGATACTTGAGTGGCATGACACATTTCACATGCAGAAGATTCTTGGTTTAATTCCAGATAGTATTAGGAAGCAGAGGAGGGGATGCTGTCAAAAGCTCCTGAGAGCCTCTGCTAGTCAGTGCAGACAATACATAACTAGGTGAAGAAATGGCCTGGCTCAGTATAAGGCAGCATCTTAAATACTTAAGATTGTAAAAATCTTCCACAAAAGTACAGACTCTAGTAAAGGGAAGGCATATGCTTCAGCTGCATTTGTCCAAAAGCTCTATCGCACTGTTCCTATTTTTTTTGTAGCCTGAACAGATACTTGCCTATGCTGGAATGTTGCTGGTTTTAACAAAACAGCTTGATGCTGCTGCTTTTTCTAATAATTGTTGTACTGGTTTAACAAAGCATTGGATGGAGCCTTATACAAGACGATTTCCTGGCCCCACTGATAGCAGCTGAATGCAGCAAAGTCTGGCCAAAACTTACATGTTATGTTTTACTAGATGTTACCAGGAAGAGGGGAGAGAGACAAATGGAATGGTGGCAGCTTCTTTCATGAGTCTTGTAGCATCTCATTCCTCACTAAGTCACATGGTTGCCACTATGTTTGTTTCTCAAAGGATAATTACAAAATTGCCTGGACAGGGCACTGAATGAGATAACATCCCCAACCAACTTTGAGCAGCAAGTTATGATTCAAAAGAGTTATTCCTTAGATACCTTAAGGAAAGGATTTTGGCTTTTCATTTATATGCTAGCTGTGATTTGTTCTTTTTAATTGTTGAGTCGACTATAGCAATTGTAATCAAACTTTTCTGATTGAAGGTACAGGAAAAAATGAAACTGCTCTTCTGTGAGACTAGAAAAATCACTTTGAGCAGTGATAATGATACTAATGATAATGATGTGTCATTTCTTTGTAGGACAGATTGTATGTATTTTGTTGATACCTCTTTTTTCTTTTCTTTCTTCCCCCATCCACTTGGTGAAGTTTGTTTTGTATTACAAAGTAACATTTTTCTTGTGATTAACCTATTATATAATGTATTATTAAATGTTTTTCATTGTATTTGTTGTGACCTGGATAAATGACCTAAGCATGATCATAGCATTGCAAAAGTTTCAAGTATAGCAGCACTATTTTACTATTCATACAGGATTCAGTAGAAACCTCTTTTCCAATGAATCCAGAAATCTGATTTCTGTTGCTATTCCTTGTTACTTGCAAGTGATAAGCAGATATTATAGAAAAATATTTTCAGTTGTTTCCTAATTCAGAGGAACAATTTCAAGTATTATTGGCAATACACTGCCCTGTTTAGTGTGTAAGCATGGAATGGACACAGAGACTGTTCTGTTTAAAGTTATCTACACATTTTTGAATTTACAGAACATTGGGCTTTTTTTATGTATAGCTCAGGCATGATCCACTAATCAATTCTTACATGGATTTTCCACGAATTGCAATAAGATATGCTGAGGTCCCACACACACCCAATTTAAATAGTGGCAATTTCTCAGAATCCCCTCATTGACCTGAAGTCCCTCAGCTGTCCCTTTTCTGATCTTGGGGAGTGGTCAGGGTGGTTCTTTGCATGCCAGGTGCAAAGAGGCAGGTAAGGGATCAGAGCCCTGGAAATGGGAATCTTATGATCACCCCCAAACAATATCTGACTAATGCCTGCTCCATAGCCATACAATTAGAAACAATCAGCTCAGATTCTGACTCATGTACTTTTCTCTTCAGTTCTTTTCCTTCTTCATGTGTGACAGGAGGAGGTGAGCCTTTGATTTTTACTGTCGAATAAACCTCAGCTCTGTGTCGAAAATGAATTTGGGATGAAGTTAGCTAAACTAGGATTTGAAACCATCTTTGATTCTGGTTTGCTTGGGTTAACTTTGATTACAGGAAATAAGCAAGCAAACTCCTTCCCCATATTGATAATACTGATATCTTAGTATATCCCCTACAAACAGATAAATTTAGTGGCTCCATTATTTATAAGTCTTTCAGTATTGAATTCTTCATTTGGTAGATGACCTATACAGGCTGTATGTTTTTGGGCAAAGCCAATTGTGTGCCTTTGAATGAATATCAGGAATTTTAAAAATTCAAGCTAAAGGGTAATGCATCCTAAATATATTTCAAATAGCAGATGCATTGGTTTCCTTTTTAGCAGCACTTAGTTAAAAATAGGAAGTGACAATGCCTCCTGAACATCAGACAAGAACATTTTAAAGAGACAAGCACATATTTATATGAAATAAGGAAAACAGGCCTGCCTTTATGCACTGTGATGGAACTATTATATTTGCAATCTTATATTAATACTGCTGGACTATGACCAATAGTCATCTAACCCTTTAATCTATGAAGTTTGTCATAGAGTCTGGGTAGATGAAGGTTGAGAGGGGTATTCCACCAGGCATCATGGTCCCAAGTCATGTCTTGCTTTAGAGATTAAAACCAGTACCTTGAATTGGGCTCAGAAACATACAGACCATCAGTGATGATGTTCATCTAATATGAATAATTTTATAGTAAAATTCTATACATGTAAAATTAAGCTTCCATTTAATTAAATAGTATCCCAGGTAAGTGGATATTGAAATGCATTTCCAATCTGCTTCTGTGATGTACTAGCTTGCTGACTGACTGGCTAATAAGGTTTGCACCAAACTAGAAAATAGTTTGTTGTCCTACCAGGGTTTGCCTGGCAGATGATTTAACAAATTGTGGTTTGTTTTCTCAAACCCTGGATTGATTCCTTCCTCTTTCACACACTTCCACCCGTATCCTAAGGGAATTTTTAAAGCTGTAGTATTAGCATATAGCTGGGCTCTTTTTACTACTCTTGCCAGCACACTCTATAGCCTGGCAGAACAATCCATGAACACCCTACAATCCTGAGATCAAATATAACAACAGCCCATTGTTTAAAGAACCCAAGACAAGCCTTACCCTCTCTTTCTGGTTTGTCCTAGGCCAAAAGATGATGGTTTGGCAACAACCAAATTCATACATCATGCTAACGCATATTTCAACAACCCGTGGGTTAAATAAACCATGGTTATCATTATGTGGAAATTATATGAAACCCATTACACAAGTTTTCTGGGTAGCTCACAAAATAATGCAATATTAAAAATGCAATGTCAAGCAATGTAAAATATTAAAAAATAGAAGCACAATTAAAGCATGGAACCTGATGCTTAATTTGGTGACATGCATACGTTTATTAACCAATATAATTAAATGCTGCTCATTTTATGCATATATTCAGACTTGCAGCCTTCATTATCCATAGATTCAGAATCACAGCAAAAACATTGCAGGAAGAGAAAAGCAGTTTTCCCATCCCGAAGGCTCATAATCAAAATAAGCTAGAAGGGCCGCAAGGCCCAAG